GAAGGAGAAGGAGAAGGAGAAGGAGAAGGAGGCGGAGAAGGAGAAGGAGAAGGAGCAGGAGAAGGAGCAGGAGAAGAAGATGACGATACCTGGAAACAGCAGAACAGAAGAGAAAGAACCAGAGAAAATCACAAAATACAAAGACCTGCAAATAGAAATAGAGCAACTGTGGCAAAAGAAAGCAAAGATAGTCCCAATAGTAATAGGCGCCTTGGGTGCAATCCCAAAACATCTGGAGGACCCCTTGAAGGCCATTGGCATTGACAAAATCACCATCAGCCCATTGCAAAAGGCAGCTTTACTCGGATCAGCTTATATCTTGTGACGACGCCTTTAACACCATCCAACAAGAACATCTGCCTATCCCAGGTCCTTGGGAAGGACTCTATGGGTAGATAAAAATGCCAGATCCAGTCTAATCATCTGGCTGACTGCGCGAGCAACCATAATAATAATAATAATAGTTTAATTCCAGATATAAAATTAGCGCAGCCTTAAGGTACACACCTAGACCTATCTGAAGCACCCTGTGTGCTAATTTGACATTTAAAATTAAACCAACATTTTTATCTTCATGATGGGATGTTGGCAGCTACTTGCAACTCCTCATTCCCGAGGTGCCGTATGTTCGTCCTAGTTAAGCGTTGCTCTGCTCTGCAACAGTACATTTTGGCATGGGACTGAAAATTGGCTGCATTGCACAAGATTTCTGTGACCTTTCATATGTGTTAAAGGATATATTAAGAAACTCCAGCCACAGTTCATACCTCATTTCCGCTGTGGAACTAGCACGGCTGCTTCAGTCAGAAGCAATACAAAAAGTGTCCTCGCTCGGCAGAAGCTGCCGAGAAGTGGGCGGTGGAAAGTACCTGCATAGTAATGAGTGGTTTTTCTCTCAGTTTGGGCTCAGGAGGGGGTGTCCCCTCGGTCAGATCTAGTGGGGGCTCTGGTTGGGTAGTCCTCCATGATCAGTGGAGGAAGTCAAGGGGCCTGTTTATTCTCCATCATGGGTCTTCTAGACGAGCTGCCAGGTTGGAAATTCCACTTCTTCGGAAGGCAGTAAGTTGGGGTCAGGCAGGGTTGGACAAGGAGACAACCCTCCTCCTCCCACTCGGCCGGGTCTTTGTGAAGAGAGACCTTCTGCCCAGCAAGAAAGATCCCATTTCTTCAGCAGACCTCTGCTTTCTTATCCAAGGGCTGCCTGGTTGCACAGTATTTTAAAATTAACTTGAGGAAGTATCCATTTTATAACCTTAAAATACTATAACTTACTTTTTTTTTTTTTAGTTGTTTAGCTTTATTTATCTTTATGTATCTCCTACCTCAGCAGGGAATTTTCTGGGAGCCTCCAAGCCAATATGTGAATACTGAAATTTAAGAAAATTTACAATAGTCCAAAAAACCAAGCACACCACTCATTTGTAAATTAATCATCACTTACACCTGAAAAATGAAAAACAACATTAGCTAGTATTTGCCAGTGTGACCCCAGTAAAAATAAGAGTCACTTGATCTTTCAAACACAATACACAATTAGTTAAGTGTAGGTTCTCTCAGAGTGGGAATATAATCCCAGTTTGTAAATTGCATATACGGGTAGTCCTCATTTAGCAACTGCCTCATTTAGTGACTGTTTGCAGTTACCAAGGTGATGAAAAAGTAACTTTATGACCAATCCTCACACTGACAACCTTCACAGGTCTGTAAAGCAAAGGAAAGCTGAAGTAAGATCGTAAGCACAGTCAAAGCTCTGCTTAGTGACTACTCCACTTAAAGACCAAGTGGCCGGTCCCAATTGTGGTTGCTAAACAAGAACTACTTGCACATGAAAAAATAACTGCAAATAGGCATATATTATAAACTTTTTTTTTGAGGGGGGTGCCTTCAAGTCAGTGTTGACTCCTGGCGACTGCCTGGACAAGTGCCTGAAGGTTTCTTGGCAGCATTTTCGGAAGGGGTTTGCCCCGGCCTTCTTCTTCTTCTTCTTAGGGCTGAGAGAGCGCAACCGGCCCAAAGTCACCCAGCTGGCTTCGTGCACAAGGCAGGACTAGAACTCACCATCTCCTGGTTTTTAGCCTGGTGGCTTAACCACCACACCAAACTGGTTCTCGTTATAAACTTTACTGAAATTAATTTCTGTTAGATAAAATTCGAGACAACCAAGGTGCAATTAAAAATGTGTTTTTCTCATCACCA